AATTAAAACAGAGCTGTATTTACATATATTATTTATAAATAAAACTACAGATTTTATATATATATGTAATGTGTGTATATATAAATATATATACACATATATATGTATTTATATACATGTGTGTATATATATATATATATATATATATAATATATATATATATATATATATATATATATATATATATATATTAGGGCAGGCCACAGTCCCACAAATTTTTTAAACAATCAATTTTACTAGTTGCTGCATAAAATATTGTTCCTTTTAATATAAAAATCATTTTTTGTTATGAAAGTGTTTGTGTAGCTCATCTCTAAGTTCTGCCGAATTTCATTTTTAGTTTGAGTAATTTGAATAAATCCAAAACACAAAACTTCCATTACATCTGTTCCATTTTTTAATTTGTTTGGTTTAATAATTACTAATAATGGCATATTTCCATTATTTTTTCATGTAAACAAATGTAAAAAAATGTGGAAAACATATAATAATGTAAACAACACCAGTGTACTATATTTTTAATTGTCTAAGCTTATATCTATTTTTTATATTATTCTTGTATTTTAATCTAAATGTCTTCTTTTTTTTAAATATTTATTTAGCATAAATACTGCAAGATTAAAATAAAAACAATAATTTACAATTTGAGATCTAGTAAGAATATATCAAGATAATAATATAAATAATGTATAGGAAACTTTACCATACATAAACAAATTTATTTTGCAATCCAATGAATTTCCAATGCAATTAGAATTTGAATGACGTGCTTAAAATGCTAAGTAAGACTAATATTATTCTTATTGTATGCTTACTTTTTAACAAACCTTATTTGTTAACCTGCTCTCACCTACTTAATTAAAAACAGGGAGAGGTTTAAATAGTTATGGAGAATAAATAAAACAAATTCTATGAAGTCAGTTAAATACAATTATTTTCTGTTTATGCAAGCACATTAAAAACATTTGAAATTACATTGCTAATAATAGCTTATTAATATAATTTGAAATTACAATATTTAATACATAAAAAATTCCTAAAAAATAGTATATTTAGTGATTAAAAAATATATAGGAGAATATAAGATTACTTCAAAAAGAGTATAATACTCTGAAAATATGTCTCGTCTATGGCGTGTGCAAATTTGTAAAGGTTGTGGTACATGGCAAATGGTCAATAGATTGGCTGTGGGAATGGAAGCTGTTTTTTATTTAATTTTTTGTATTCAATTTTTTTCATAAGCGCACTTTAATTTTATATTCTGTTCACTCGAAAGAATACAAATGTTTCTACTAATTAATGTTTACAGTGACAATTCCACAAATTTTTGCTACTTTTTTCTAAAGGACCTTTTTTTTAAAGAAAATTCTAGATACAGAAGACTTTTTTTAGAATTTGATGATTGTGCCCCTCTTCGAAACCCTAGTTGTTGGCCCTGGTTGTAACTAGAGAAATAAGTAGGAAAAATGATTTGTTAAAATTCAGTTAAAAAATTGACATTCAATCTATGAAAATGTTTGCAATAAAAATTTATGAAAACTCTTTTTGGACTCGGATGCTATCATGTATTATTTCAAAAAGATACAACAACTGATACTTTATAGATTTTAAAACTATTAAATTGGAGCAGCCAAGGCACAGTGGTAGCGCGCTTGCCTCAGATGCAAGGGTTCCGTGGTTCGAATCCACCTTTGAGCGAGTTTTGTGACATCAAATATGAAGGAGGCATAAAGTTCATGTTAAATGTCTTCCCCGGTGCTCTTTGATAAGACCGTAAAATTTTTAAAGTGGTTGAAAATCACAACAAAAATTATAATTAGAAGCAATTGTTTACTGATTTACCACAATGCAAGTAATAACTGCTTTTTTAACCCCTTTTTAAATGATATAATGCCTTGATTACATAACATTTATTTTATTTGGAAAAAGAACTATTTGGGGATTATTCAAATAATGCGTGACAGTCTTATGGGGAGGGGTTTCAAAAGTTTTAACAAATATTACATGGAGAGGGTGGTTAGTTACAGTGTGACGTGACAAAAAAACTTTTAATTTCAATTCTTATTATAGCGGAAAAAGTAAAATTTTAGCAAAAAAACAAAAACAAACTTGAACATATATTTTATTTAAAAATAATATCACGGCATATACAAGATGAGGGAGTGGGGGGGGGGGGGGAGGGAGGTGGAGTTGATAAACATGTCACAAAATGTTACATGGGGAAGTCTAAAAAAACTCAAAAATGCGTTGCTTATTATTTAAATAGCCTCTAATGACAAATATTTGCTATAAATATACAAATCCTTATTGTTTTCACTTTAATACAAATACCTATTTTTGACATATTATTAGGCCAATAATCAAATAAAATTCGGCAGCACTTAATAATGTTTTTTTCCAATGTTTTTTTCTAATTTTTTTTAACAGTTTTCATATGTGAAAAAGGATCATATTTTTTTAAAGACAGGAAATTTTCAAAATTTTTTGTTTTTGGCCTACC